CCCCCCCCCCCGACCCCCAAGCACAAACACACAACTACACATACGTTCTCATCCTCTGCAGCATAAATCTGCTCAAAATTATTATAATGTTTAGGTGAGACCGAAAGGGAGCGCAGCAGTAGGCTACTCACCCCTTACGACGACACGTTAGTCACTGTAATTTAACCACTTGTGTTGTCTTCATTTGCAGAGGTGCCGGAGAAAATAAAAAAACCCAACTATCTGCAAATTCCAAACTGTGTGAGAAGTAATCATAGCTCAAACTGAAACGGCCTTTCCATTTGACATTTTTTCCAGAGCCGCTCCCCGTCCAATGTACCAAGCCTCAAAGTTTCGGGGTTTATACTGTGTAAAAAAATTTTTTTTAAACACCTTTGAATGAGGCCACATCGTCAGCGCATAATGGCTTTCCGCTTGATAGAACGTGTGCTGTGTGCTACTGGCCATAATCGTAATAATATAAATATTTCTTTATTTCAAGCCAGCCTAAACATTCTTTTGCTTATAAATTTGTATAGTACTGTCGGCCGACTCGCTTCAGAGCTTTCGTTTGTTCCAGATGTATTTTAATGTATCAACACACTATCAGGAAAACTGGTCTGTGCCATGAATCAAATCCAAACGTTTAGTCATTTTAAAAATGGTATGTATCAAGATTCACATCTTAACATACTGTCATCAGCTGAAACTTCATTCAGACTTACTATTTTTGTATTTTGTTTTGTTTTGCTTTGTTTTGTATTGTTTCTCTAAAGTAAACTTTCTGGTAAACTATTCGGTATGAAAAAGCAACACGGATCTCACTGGAATGTCCTTAAAAATAAACGAGCTCACTTTTCGGTCTCTGCACGAGATCGTAAAGAAATTGAAATGACTGACTCTACTGGTAAATTCCCGCACTATACCAATCAGAACTTTTAATCCACACTCCAAGACTCACCGTTTATCTTTTTCCTGAAAAGAAAAGGAACAGAACAATCCATCGAACTCAAAGAACCAACCAACTCTTTTTGCGTCACAATGGCAAACGCTGTAATATTACTGACTCTTCTCGTAAATCCATGCACAGTGCCAATAAGAACTTTATGTCCACGAAATTTAAGTTTCACGATCTTTTACATGAAAAGAAAAGGAACAAAACAATCCAACGAACTCAAAGAACCAACCAATTTCTTTGTCTTTATTTTATTTTTTTGCTTCACTAGCTGACCAGAGATCGCAAGTACCTTTTAGCGGTACCCAGACCACACAGAGCGGAATGGAGCCTATAGTGTGGGCTAAATCCTTCATTAATATCTACATAACTTGTTAGCTCTCTCCGACCGACCGTTATATTTAACTCCTCTAAGAAAGAGAAGGGGCCAATGCGGAGGCTCGATTCTGAAGTCGTGTCTTGATCCGCTATAGTCGTCACGCACCGTTTGAGGCCAATACAAAAAAAAGAAACGTATTGGTGGTGACGCAGGTGCTGTTTTGCCAGACTTGGCCGAGCGTAACACACACTAGCAAGACCAGACGACACACCTTTCTGTTTCTCAGAGTTATATACTTGAATTATGATTTCCTAGATCGTGCACTGTCATGGCCACCGCTCTTTGCTCTCTCTCTAAAGCGTACAATTAATGAAGGGCAAAACACCTAACCAGCTGTAGTCGAGTGCCGATCGGCGGCTTTCCTCTTTGCCTTTCTTTTGGCTTCAAACTGAGTCAAGTAGCGCGCTCCATATTGAATAGGAATTGCGACAGAGTGCACAGTCTAGAAAATCATAATACATATATATAGTTGCGAGTGCATTTGGTCCTACAAAAAGCTATGAAAGGCGACAGATCGAATAAAAGGATATAATTGAAGTAGATCCCCCCCCAACCCCCCCCCCGCTAAAAGAAACAACACACCGAAAATTGTTTCATATCCGACTGAAATGCAGCATTTCGTGGATACAGGTGGTGCTTGTTATTATGGTTTCACGAAGAAGGTCATGACAGTTGCTCCAAATCATCTTAATATATTTTTCTTCTTTTTCGCTTAAGAATCATTCTCCTCTGTTGATGCACTTGTCATCGTCAGACATAGAAGAACGAACAACTGTTACGAATACGTGTGGCTACGATACATCTGAACGTGATGGTGCATTTTCCAATGAGATGTGATTCTTTCATAATGTCTTGCCGTATTTTTAAATTTTTTTTAGGGGGTGTCTTTTTGTATTATATCCCATCTCTCTCTCTCTCTCTCTCTCTCTCTCTCTCTCTCTCTCTCTCTCTCTCTCCCTCCCCCTCTCTCTCCCTCTCTCTGTATCTGTCTGTCTATCTGCCCCCTCCTCTTCTCTTTCCTTCTCAGTAGGTCTGTCTGTCTCTTTCTCTGTCCTTCTGTTTGTCTGTATTTATTATACCTATCTCTCACTCTTTGTTAGTCTGTCTGTCTGTCAATTTTGTTTATATGTCTGTCTACTCCCTCTCTCTTTCCATTTAAGCTGCATCTATCTATCTATCTATCTATCTATCTATCTATCTATCTATCTATCTATCTATCTTCGTATTATTCACATAGACATATTTGCCTCATTTAATTCAGCAAGATCGTAAAGATCAAGTTGACGTCCATTGTCGTATTCAAATCTAATAAGGGGAAGGGAAGAGTTTCCAGAGCATTCGTATTCGCCATGAATTTTCTGAAAGTTCTGTAAACCATTTAGGGTGCTACAGAATAACCCTATCTCGGCCAATACCACTCTTAAGGATTATATTTGGTGTGGACTATTATATGGCAATAGAGATTTGTTACCAATTGTCACAAAAAATTACTGTTTCGGTTGCCATGGAAACGGACGCCATATTGGATTTTAGAGACATACAGTGGTATCATTTTCTCACCTTAGTTACCTACAGATTAGGTTCATTCTTAGCATGCCTACTGATAAGACAAAGATCACACTTTCTGTAAGAGATTTTTTAAATATCTGCTTTAGTTTTTATTTTATGACACTTTCAATTCAGGCTATAGCGAAATAGTGGAAAAAACAGGAAAAACCTAGCTTTTCAAGCTCATAAATTAAGAACCAATGTATTTATCAATAATTCCTCTTTAAAAAGCTAGATTTCTATGGTTTTAACATTCTGTGAAAGTTCCATTGAAATCGGGTCAGAAATAGAGCAGAAAAAGAGTACCGACCGTGAAAAAAATAGCGTTTTCAGAAAATAGCAAAGAAAGGTAAAATTTCTTAAACAGACTCGGCCCTACGCTCTAAAACCCCCCCCAATACCACTTTATGGTGCAGGGATGCTTGTGTTCCTTTCTAGATATTGTTCAGGACATGTCCAGGAATTAGTGTAATTATCTCATAATGTGTAATTTGACCCCAAACCAGCATTTCTAACTGCAGCATTGACACCGGCCTCTGTGGTGTAGTGGTTAGACGTTTCACCGTTGCATGCAGAAGACCTGACTTTAATTCCAAAAATCTATATCAAGAATTTGTATCGACTATCTTGATCTTCCTGGTGGGATGTTGTATCCCTTTCAGCCCAAGTTGGTCATGGTAGGCAGGGTTGAGGCCCGCCTCTATCTATCACAATGATATATAATATACAGCAAGTACCAAATGAAGGGTATGCTACAGATAACGTTTGGTCTTCTCTGTGTTTGTTCGAATCCAGGTGCACTCCTGACTCTGTCTACTTCTACTTCTGGTTCCTTTTTACTAATGTCTTTCAACCACACCCCTGATCGGTAGGTGAGGTCGAACACCTAATCCTCTCGAATAGGGGTTTAAAAAATCTCGGGAATGAGAAAGGGGCATGAAAAAACAGCTACTTTTTTTTAAAGACGTGACATAATCACTGAATTTGTAATGCCAATGCCCTCATCTGCAGGTGCACTGGGATTTGAACAAACACAGCTTCCTCTGGTATTCTCTTTCTTTTAATCCTGACTTTCTGTTGCAACCCTGTATAACTGTATCGTTTGGTATAATAGGAATATATTTCGGTCTGGTTGACCAATCGATTATGTTTTTAATAATGAACTATCTTGTGGCATTGATACCAAATCAACTTTACTGCTGCACTGCATTTCAATCAGATCAATATTATAATACTAACTAGGAGAAACAATAGAACTAGTCAAACAAGGAATGTGAAACGATACTGTTCAAGCAGATAACGCTTTTTTCAAGGTTCTATGATGTTGTATTCAATTTTAACAACGCAGGCGAATCGTATGTCCCATTAGATTTGATAGATCTATATGCACAGAACTGAAGGTCATTAACTCTTTCAATGATTCATATGTCTCGTTCGTGAACAAAACCTCTCTCTCTCTCTCTCTCTCTCTCTCTCTCTCTCTCTCTCTCTC